TATATTTCGAGCGACCTTGGGGAGCGATCAGTCAGTTAATGCACACAAAGTATAACTGAGCAACAGGAAAAGCGCGCGGTCTTTACGGATTAAGGTGCAACATGGCGGAAAAGGCGCGAAATTTAAAAATTCAAAAATTTTGATAAGATGTTGGCAATAACTCGGAAAATAAACCGTTTTTGGGGATACTGACATCCCAAACACCTCCCCTTGTGGAAAAATGTCAATAACGGGTTTTTCGGGGGTCCATTTGAAAAAGAGTGGTTTGACGTCGACGGCGATCTGTCCATCTTCTTCGTAGAAGGTTTGGCTCACTGGCTGCTGCGTTCTGTGTTGCCGGCTGCGCTGCATCAGGTGTGGCGGCCTTCAGTTCAAAGGTGTCTAGAAGTATGTCGAGCGAGAGTTCGTTCTGGGGGGTCGGTCGCTCTGAGAGATGGAATCGACGCAGTTGATTCTTGTGTCGAGTCCAGATGTCTTGGCCCACAGAGACGTCGTACATTTGCCGCGTTTNAGACGTCGTACATTACGCTGCCGCGTTTTCATAACACGTGTCGCGCGATCCAGCGTTCGTGCCTGGGTCGATAGTCTCGGGCAAAAACGCTTTCACCTACTTGGAACTGGGCCGGTTTTTTTTGTTCACGTCAGGTCGGGAACTAGCCGTCGGTGCCGGACTCATGGCCCAATTGGTAGTTGGCAATTTCCGGCCCTTGAGCGCTTCGGCGGGTGACTTCCGATCTTCTAGAGATTCATTTGGAGTGGTCCGATAAACCAAAAGAAATCCCTGGAGAACTTCGACGGGTGTCCCCTCCCCTCGAGACTTGAGCAGCGCCCGCTTGAACGTGTCGACGAAACGTTCCGCCTGCCCGTTGGACTGCGGGTGGTATGGTGGCGAACGGAAGTGCGTGATGGCATTTTCCCGGCAGAACTCTTGAAAACAGCTTGAGCAGAACTGTGATCCGTTGTCGGATTCCAAAGTCTCCGGTAGGCTGTGCTGGCTGAAGAGCTGTGACAATGCCCGTATAGTGTTCGTTGTCGTTGGTGGGATGACAGGCACAACTTCTGGCCATTTGGAGAAGACATCAATCAGGATGAGGTACGTCACTCCATTAATTGGGCCAGCGTAGTCGATATGCACCCGGCACCAAGGGCGTTCGGGTCGAGGCCAAGCAGCTGGCGGAAGGCGTGGAGGGTTCTTCGCGGCCTGTTAACACTTTGAGCAGTCTCTGACGTAGTCAGAGATGTCGCGATCCATGTGTGGCCAGTAAGCGTAACTACGGGCGAGTGACTTCATTCGGTTTATTCCGGGATGTCCCGAATGAAATGGCTCCTGAATGAATGGCTTTGGGAATCACTACGCGATCTCCAAACATTAGACAATTGTTTACGATTGCCAAAGCATCTCGGCGATGGAGGAGCTGTCGGAGGCAATCATCTTTGAGGTTATAGGGCCACCGCGCTGTTGACTGTAGTATGCACAAGCCATTGCTCAAATCCGACCTCTGCCTCGACTTCCCCTGTCTAAGCTTGAGAACCCTGGCAGTATCCCAGCCGTCGTACTTCCCTCGGGTGGCATGGCAGCTAGACGCCGAAAGGGTGTTACAGCTAAACAGTTCATTTGCAAAAACGGTTGTTTGAAGGCGGTGGAAAGGCAAACATATGGACTAAAAATGCGGACGGATAAAAATGAACACTAATCAAATACGGAACACCGTTTTGTTGATCAGCAGTCGCAAACTTTACAAACCACTGCTTTTTTAAGTGGAATTAATTTCAATCAGTCGAAAATTTTCACACCGTTGTCAGAAAAGCGACTGTTTTTAGGAAGCTCGTCCACACATAACATCACCTGTGATTGTTCCGACTTCGATTGAGTTGCAGCTCGGTTTGCAACCTTCTTATGCGGTCGTAGTACGAAAACTCCGATTCCTCAACCGATTATGCTTAAATTCCACTAACTACCCAACTGCCTCTTCATCCATGTCCATCTTTACCTCCGGAAAGACGTTTTATGTAGCGCAGGCAGTTCCTTTGTTGTTTAATGGTCTCCTTAGTGGAGTACCTTGCAGGGATGTGTGTGACTGTCCGTTGATATAATTTCGCCAATAATTTGTTAAAAACCACCATCTGTCGCTCAGTATGCGTATCTGGATGAAGTTTTTGGATCGTAGTTATTGAATTGATTGCATGGCCCAAAGACTCCAGAGTTCCAAATGAAGCTTCCTGGTTCTTCTTACAATTGTGAACAGACGGTTATTTCTGGACTGAGGACGGGGTTTCCCATCAGCTAGGGTGTTTAGAATTCCCGCATGTGTCATTCCACAAATCTTCGGAAATAACTGGTTTTTGTTCCTAATCTCATCGCTTATGTGAACTTTTATTAGATCTAACATTCGATATGGGTGCACTTTTTGCGAGCTTGGAGCAGCTTGCTTTTCACTATAAGCGCAATCTGCTATTCTCGATTTGCCTTGTATTTCAGCCAAGGATCCTGTCCTGTTACTCTTCTTAACCTTCTGTTCATTTCTAAGCAGAGCAAACCTTTTTCGAACCCCATAGTCCAGTATGAGCTTTGGAACACCTGTTAGATTGACACTTTGCTTTTGTTTACTCTTTTGCAGCTCATGATTATCCTTGGCATAGTTGTCTTCATCATCCTGGTCGTGATAATCGGTAAGTACATCTATTCTTGTGAATCTGGATCTTATTTACACCATGCACTGGGATGTCTCGGAAGGTCATTATTTCTTTACGGTTTTGCTGTCCGAAATACAATGTCCCAAGTGCAACGTAAATTATGTATAAATCGTAAGCAGAAAAAGTGGATTGTGGCGGATACTTTATTAGCACCGTACAAGCGTAACTGAAAAAGAGAACACAGTAGTTTTCGCATCAACATAGACACCCGTATGTTGAAAACCTGTGGTTACTAGTGCCAAGTTCCGGAACCGCGCACTGTATATCATTCTTTGCCATCTTCCTGTCCCCGGTTTAATCCTTAATCGGTTTACAATATACTACTAATTGGTCCGAATATAAGTAATACGTGGATGGCTGTCTCTTCAATGTTGCTTTATAGAGTGGTTATCTGGGGCTGAAATTTTGTATTTTGTGATTAAAAATCCCCTTTGTCAAATATACCAGCATTACACGAGTGGGATTAACGAATGTAGTCGAAAAAATGTGACTGGGACTACTGTACCACGCGCCTTTGATTTGCAGCTGCCGCTGCTCAGACCATTTTACATTCCCGTAGACCGTTTTCCACAGGTATGACGTTTTCCATCATTTCCTGAACTCTGGGGCTGATTGAAACATTACAGATTCCTTTCCACTGCTAGCAATCAAAGTCATCTGGGCCAACCTGTACGCTCTTCGGGACAAAGCTCTACTCAGTTCACGAGACTGATTGAATAACCGGTCAAAGTCAGCGTAGTTTGCGGTTGTGAATCGCCGGGATCCTTGTAAAACGTCAGCCGAAAGTCGTTGAGTAGAGTCCATAGCCTTTGGAAACCGGAGCCGCTTTTAAGCTTCCGGAACAAGTTTCCATGCATTTCTCACTGATATGAGACAAGACAGACGGGTTTATTATTGCAGAAAAACAAACTGATGGCAAAGTGTTGTCAAGAAGCGAGACATTCAAAAGCCAGGTACTGGATTAATGTAGTGCGGAGTTGCTGATTCGACACACTCGTGACACATTCACTTTTGGAACAATTTTACCGCATCGCTGTTGTACACTGCAGATCTCTGGGCCATCCAGGGATGGACAAGAGCAAAGCTCATGTCACCAGAAACCTTGCCGTTCGAAATCTCATGGCTTAACGCTAGAAGACCCGAACGTCTTTTCTTGAATTACAGACACCTCTAGAAGTATGAAGCGAGATGCAATCAAATGTTGTCGGCGTAACCAACATAGACAGTCAAACTTTGGTTAATGTAGTTTTGAACCCAAAGATTAGAGGTTTGTGTTAGCATTCTGATATTTTAAAGCTAAGCAAGAACATACTTGCAAAACCGCACTGTCCGAACGCTCATGAAGTTCACTTTATCCAGTGTAGATTTTCACTGCCCCGTGAAAAACGCCCGTGAGCTTCTGCGGAGTTTTCACAACCACTTGATCAGTGTGTTCCGCCAAGAAAGCCACATATTCTCACTTTGTTTGGTCTTTGCGGATAGCAATGGGCGTCGGGATGTGAAGTGGATTCAGGCGCAACCCGTGACTGCTTGGTCTTGTGTATAAGACCGTTTTAGATAAACCGAGCTGATACATGATGATGTGGGTTGTCACTCAGGAGGTAGAAGGAACGACCCGACACAAATTCTTCCAATTCCCCCAACTTACCCTACTGTCTTAGTGCTACGGAATCACAAAAGTTATATGCGACACTCAAGAAGAATGCTCAGATGAGGTAAACCGGAAGAGGCGAATGCACTTTTACAAGGATATACCAAGTTTCCTGACAGCCAAAGCGGATTCACACGGATGTATGCGGTTTTTCTCAGTGCATCAACGGTACTGGCTATGATCGCGGCTGCAGCGTGATATCACGTGACATCACCCGTCTAAATGTAGTGCAGATAGATCGTCCGGCGCAATTGTCACGTCATGGTCTGTTTGGTGTACCTGGAGAAAGTAAGCCGGCGAGAATGGTTGCCAAAACAAGACAACTGCTTGTCAGGCGTCTCACCTTATCGTGTGAGAAGCTACCACGGTCCAACCGATGAAAACGTTATGTGGGTCAGGTTATCAATCTTTTTTCCGGCAGCCACAATATCACTTCCTATGTATTTTTTGGAGCAAAGGAGGAACTGCCAACCGGATTTCAGTAATGGTGGTCGTGCTCACTTGAATATGTTGCCATCCGATTGCGAAGCTCGGTGAACAGACCAACAACTTAAGAATTCTTGTCAAACGGAATCATGCCCACATTTACCCGGTAGAGTTATCAGTAGTTTTATTTTGATTTCAGAATGTATGGTGTTGCTCGGTTTTTTTGGTATCTGTACATAACGAGCTACTCTACAAGTCCACCGAATAACATTAATATTCTTTGATGATGTTTGGATTCCCATTTCAGTTTCGGCGACGAAGTGATAGTGTTCCGTCCTTGAGTAAGTGCCTTACTATTTTTCAGCTTAGCACATCACGGTATTCTGTCACCTAAGCTCCTGTCCCGAGAGATATTATCTCTGTATAAGTTCATCGAACTGTTCCTCAACTCATCCCGGCTATGACTGCTAATTTGAAATACCCATGTGAGTGAATTGTCACAAAATCGACCTGACGTGGTGCGACTAAAGTGACCGTTGCTGTACATTAAAGGAAACTAAATGGTGCCCGGATCGAAGCTGATGTCGTGGCATTCTGTGTCGTCTGCGTTTGGAATAGAGCAGTGTCCTGTTCCCTTGAATTTCGCTGCAAAAACGAGTTATTCCCCGCCGTACTTCGTTAGGGCCGTCTATTCTGGTAGACATGATGATATTAGTTCCATGGACTACAATTAGTGCGAAATAATAAATACCTACTTATCCTTTTCTTCCACGTAGTTGATTACAGTCGGACTTCCATCTTCGCATAAATCACCCATGGAATATCAGGTAAACACCATCTTGGAACATGCTCACAGATAAAGGGCGCAGTCAGTTTCGAACAGGGAATTAAGCCAATTGCTGCAGCATTAAATAGCTGCTGTGATCAGAATATAGCTAATCAAAAACAACTTGGAATTGGTGCAAGCGTTGGGCTGACATTGTCAGACATTCTGAAGCGTTTAAATCCAGCTGGGCCTGGTGATGTAGGGGAAATCCTTATGTTATTACATCCAGTGAGCAAGTGGTTAATTTCGGATAGTAGCACCAGTCAGTTCCGTTACTAGCATGAGTTGTGTGTTGCCCGACGTCTCGATATGTATGCATCTTGATACGCCAGCTCTGTACCGAATCTTGCTGTCTACTTCCGTCAGCTGTTGTCTTGTTCATCCTCCACTTTAACTGGATACCCTTTTGACTTCGACAGGCCAACACCAAGTTCTCAGCCTCAGTTCTCATTTTTATTCTGGTTCACAGTGTCACATAACCGTTGCGAAGTACACCGATTGGTGTTTCGAAAATATCCTTACCGTGATTTAGATGCTCATTTACATTCCGAACCCGTCCCGCACTGTCCCTTATCGTGTTCTATTCAGCTTATTGTCCCCAAACGTCTATCGCTGACAAAAATGTGCAAACTTGCCACTTGGTTGTGTTGACATCATCCATATGCCACTGTTATTAACCTTAAAAGACCCAGATCACAACATGCTTTCTGTTTTCAAATTGACTTTTTTGTGCTAATTTTGTTTTGTTTACTTCTTGTTTATCTGGCCACTACTGTCCATTATCTTATGCTGCATAATATCTCCTAACATTTTCCCACCGTTGTCTGTGTCTGAAGTTTTGGAGTGATTTCCCAACTATTCCTTTTCTATTTCTTTGTCACGTGCAATACGTTATTTTCGATGTGTTATTTCATGTTTCCACGCTTTTTGCGCATTTATTTAAACGCTTATACTCTATGTGCATATATGTGTACGCTCGAGCTTATCCAATTCGTTGGTTTTCTCTTAATGTGGTTGGTTTTCTCCGTGCGTGTGTAAGGGGTTCTTTGTATTCAGCAACAAGCCCACCTTGTGACAACTAGTGTCGCTTGCGTGTACCGTAAACGATTACTGTCCAGTAGGGGCATCAGCATTCGTGGAATAGAATGGCTAGTGATATCATTGGCAGCGGTGCCGTCACGAAGAGACTGGACCTTAC